TGTCTATCTCATATATTAGTTTCACCTTTTAAGTTGCATTACTGAAATAAATGAACTTTTGCACGATATTCTAATTTTTTGAGTTTCATCTGTATATTACATCCCAGTGGTGGGTTGCCAATTTTTTTACTACTGGTTCGGGGGCGCATGTGCAGAAGCATCCAGGTGAGTGGGCGGAGCCTCCCACCATCACTACTACCGATTCGCCCAATCCAGGCCGAACTGGGAGCAACCCACCTCTGTTGCACCCGTGAGTCCACATTTGGAATACTATATCCAATTTTGATCACTAAGATTAAAAAAAAAAGATGCTGTGAGTCTAGAAAGAGCACACAGAAGAGAAACAAAAAAGGATCTGGAAGCTAAATTCTACAATACAATAAACAGTTAAGTGAACTTGGTGTGTTTAGCCTAACAAAAATAAGGTTTAGGGGTGACATGATAATTGTCTTCTAGTATTGGACGGGCTGTCACAAAGAAGAGGAGGCTGACTTAGTCTGCAAAGCACCTGAAGGCAGGACAAAAGCAATGGCTGGAAGCTTGTCAAAGAGAGATTCAACTTGGAACAAAGGAGACATTTCCTGACAGTAAGAACAATTAATCAATGAAACAACTTGCCTCCCAGAGTTGTGGGTGCTCCATCGCTGTTTTTAAGGAAAGTTTTTAAGAAAAAGACAACCATGCTTATTAAGGTCTTCTGCCTTGAGAGATGGGTAGATCTTGAAGACCTCAAGACCTCCACCCCTATGATTCTATTTTATTATTCCCATTCCATTCCGTTCTATAGTTTACAAACCACATGAACTGGGTTCATAGAACCAAGCAAAGCTCCTTATGATGTACTGTACAGCAACATGATGTGTCTTGGTATCTTGCTTGTAAAATGGTTATGGGTCAAATCAACCTATTTCCACAGCACAATTTCAGATCATGGGAAGAATGAATGCACAGTGTAAGATTGGTAGGATGTGGCACTGAATAGTTTCTTTCCCCATTGCCTGAAGTCCTTCAGTGATTTTCAAAATAACATAGAACTCTTACTCTAAGAATCAAAATATTCTATGATTAAATGGTTGTTGCTATTACTAACTGAATTTCTATGTGCTGAATCTACCAGATTTATGACAATTTATAGCCATATACATCACAATAAAATGTTTATAGTAAAAATTAGCTACAGTTCCTAATAAAATGGACAATACAATATGCTTCAATCCCCACCCCTACTCCCAAATAACAATTATCATATACAGAGGAAGCAAAAAGTGGCAATGGTGAACAAACCCTACAAAGCAAAAGTTTTCTCCAATTTCTGGGAGGCCAACAGTGAGAGAACCAGCCTCAGTAGTATAAGCAGGCTGTTCCACAGCATTTGCACTGAGATGGTGCTACACCAGTCAACTAAAAAAACCAAGCCCTTGGTAGCAGCTTCTTCTGGGAGAAACTTAGGTCAACTCAGGTACCTTAACTAAAACAAAACAAAACCAACAAAGCAGTAACCATTGGCCTTCCTCCTAACTTACAATTAAAACTGAGTTCTAGTTTAACACAATGGTCAAATTAAGAAGCCAGAATTCTTCAAAAGTGGAAGAAAATATGAAGAATGCATGCGCAAAATTTTAGATGAACTTATTCCAATTGTTCATCTGACTTTAAATTATGCCTAAGAGATACATTGAACTAGCTCATTTTTGAAATGCAGTATTAGTTGTATAATACAACATGCAACTGTTACTTTAATAATCTGGTTATTGAAATGTAAGCAGTTCTAGAAATAAAAATAAGCAGATGGCCAAAAAAATAATAAACTTGGGTCTCAATGCCATAAAGACAAATGTTTTTTACATAGTGCTGTGATCCTGTTTCACTATGTAATATTTATGAGAATTAAATTCTATCCATGACTTCTCATGTTAATTTAGTTTATACCGTGAATTTCAAAAAGTCTTACCGATCTACTTTTCTTCCACAATTTTTCTCCATTCAGTCTAAGCTCACCATTGTAGAATGCATCTTCCACTTTGCTTTAAAACAAAAAGAACCCTATTTTTTATATTTAATATTCTTGCTAAAATTATTTTTACAAAAATACTAAGAATAACCTTTTCTACCACTCCACCATATCTATATAGATAGCTACTATATCAGTGTTTTTCAATCTTGGCGACTTTAAGAAGTTGTGGACTTCAACTCCCAAAATTCCCCATACAGCAACGCTGGCTAGGGAATTCTGGGAGTTGAATTCCATACATCTTAAAGTTTCCAAGGTTGAAAAACACTGAGCTAGATCATATCAATTAACATAAATGATAACAATGTTTCACTTTAGCATTTCCCACTCTAGTGCAATTGATTCACTTTGTATGGACTTCCAGATACAGTAAGTTTTTACAGAAGGAAAATCAATGCTGCATTTATTAAAGCTAAATAAGACTGCAATCCTATGCATAGTTTTGATGAAGTAAATCCTGTTAAGCATATTCAGGTTTTCTTAAACATTTCAGAGAATCCAGTTATAAAATGTGTAAATATACATTTAAAATAAACAGCTTTCAGGTCAAAATGTCAATCTTCTTCTTATGTTGGTCTGTGATCAGAAGTCAGGAACAATTTCTACTTAAATCTGTTTTATTACCTTCTGCAAGTAAAATAACTAAGGTTGATAACGCAGGTCTAATTTTTCTGTTCTTCATTCAAAGCTTTTTACTATTTATATTAAATACACCAGATCCTGAAACAAATGATAAAATCTAAGCAAGAAACATGCATCATATCATGGTGTCTGGAAGCTTTAATTAGAGGAATAACCAAGAGACCGCAAATTAAGTTGGAAAAAATTTCTCATTAAGAGCTATTTTGTTTGTTTTAATGACCATCAGCTGATGCTAATAGTTCTCATTATTTCTTTATAGCCAAATTTACAGTATTTAACTGACCGGTCTGTTTTCATAGGGATTTTAATCACAAGCTACAAAAGTCATTTTAAATAACCTTCCTCAACTTAATGCTTTCCAGATGCTGTTACAACCAGCACCAGATTGGGAAAGGTTGATGAATACTATCTCAACATACTATTATTGACAAAACCAAAAAAACAACAACACATATTAATAGTTTCCCTAAGAGGGAAACCATTAACTAGCTTTCTCTTAGCAATGTTAAACAAAATATCATTAGCTATATCTTGTAATTCCTTTACTTACAAGTTATTTTAAACTTTCAGACTTACTTTCTTGCAATATCTAAACCAGATTTCAAGATTACATCGAATCGGAAAGACTGTACTACTTTCTCAAGATCTTTGTAATTCTTCACTAGGCTGGGATCATCTTCAAACTCATCTTCTGAATCAGTTATCTCTTCATCAGTGTCTTCCTCCGCCAAGTCTTCTTCCATAGTTCGTTTCACATCTTTTTTATGTGAGTTTTTGTTACTTTTGTGTCGGACCGAAATCCCTGTGACACTTTTTGACCACGGTATTAAAAATGCATGATGCTGAATGGGAGAAACACAGAAATGTTTGGGGAGAATTGCTGTTCTGGGATATTGGCTTGCAGCACAAAGAAAGGTCCTCCAGGGAGAGCTGAGTTTGTGAGGAGATTTGGCCAGGAGTCCAAGCCAGACATTTAGATTTCTAAAAGCACCAAGAAGCAATTTATATCCTGTCATAGCATACCCTGTAACAAAGGATTAAATAGTTAGGACATTGCAGGTTAGTAATTTTCCAAGATAAATGATGCAACTTACATATTCCAAAGCAACAAGAGATGTAGGAAGGTATGGGATTCACAAAATTCTAAACACATTAAAGAATATGTGGCACTGAATTAATTCAATTTAATGTGTGGCTGTGTGATGTGATTTTTTTTTAAACGCCAGGGTCTCGGTTGTAATCTTTAATGTAAGATGACATTAAAATAATGTACCCAGAATCCAAATAGTTAAATATTTCTAGCTAGTATTTTTTGGCTGTCCTAGGTAGGGTTAGGCAACATAATACCAACAGGTACCACTGATGTCATAAAAATCTACAATGCTCACAGAATCATCTGCCAAAGTTCTGTATTACGTATTCACAATAACTCAATGGCTTACATTAATTTACCAGCAAATAATTACCCCTTTCATGCTCTGTCCTGATACTAACACACAAAAAAATACTATTTATAAACAAGGCATTGAAGAATAGTGGGAGAAATTTATTACTTTATCCATGAATTGACTGTTTTGCTGGTCTATGACTAACAAAAATTGATTTGAATCTACTGTGATGAGCCATATTTTGACAAATGAGTTGGAATGAAGACCTCAATGAAATCTTCATTATTTTGTCAAGAGGGTTAGATTTAGAAATGAAACATAGACCTGCTTTGACAGTTCAAACTTTCTTAGGAAAGAAAGCCAAACCTACACATTATTTATTTAATATTTCTTTATTTCTTCTTGGGCAGGCAATCTAAAGAAGTTTACAATCAAATAATAATTTAAATAGTAAACTTTAATAAATTAGAGCAGTGCAAAAGATGTGATACTGGTGAAAAAAAAAATCCCAAGGCTTTCACTACAAAGAATGCCCAACTATGAGTAAGAGCAAAATAACAATAGGTCAATTGTAGTACTGGATTCAAGACAAGAAATCTTCTAATCACCTTAGTAACCAAACTGCCCTATAAAGGCAAAAGCAGACTGTTAGGTATCCTGTTCCCTGGTTTTCAAGGGCACTCTTTGTCAAACACAAGATCATGAACTTGGTTTGGTAGTTAATTGGTAGCCAGTCAGTTGCTTCAATAAAGATGCAATGTGTGCATAGCCAGATCCCTCACTTATCTAAACATGAGGCTACCCAGCGTATGAACAATAGCAGCTAGGTTTCCATATACAAGAAAGACTACAGCCAATGCAACAAGAGAATTGAAAGGTCACTTGGTCCTCCAGGATCAATTACTATTCCAGGAATATATGAAACTATTCGACGTCTTCAGTCCACACCCTGGCCAAAAGAATAAAAAACGGAAGTCAAATCAAATTCCACTCCAAGGCAAATTCACTAATTCCCCCACCTGGAAATCTATCAACCATGAGCTGTCATGAGAGAATTCCACTTCAATTTATTGGGTCCCAGCCAGCCATACAGAATCTAGATACTTATTCTAAATTTGCCTGCTTTCTCTTAATTTAGGTGTCATGAAGAAGTAATCTACATGTCTTTAACATCTGATGGCATTTCACGTCCAAACACCTGATGATCATCATATATGTGTTAAATAGCATTGAGGAAAATTAGCCCTCTATGGTACCCATAGAGGCAGTGACATATGCTATTTTCCAAGACCAAAACTCATTCTCTCCTAAATAATCAGAAAGGAACAAAAATAGTGTTTTCCAAGAAAATCTGAACTGCACAAATATTATCTTCTCCAGCACTTTGCCCCAAAGAGAAATATTATGATTGTAGAGATAGTATTAATAGTAATAGTTAATCCCCTGAATCCAGAGAGTGCTTCTTCAGAAATGGACATAGAAGGACCACCTTTAAAATTAGGGGTGTCCATTCATCAAAAAAGAACATAAAGCTCTACACTCTACCTAATCAATTCCTTTTTGTTATTGCAAAATAATCCAAGATGGTCATAGATCAAAGGAGTACACAGTAGGTCTCCTACCAGAAGCAAGTCCACTTAGTTTTCAGCTTGTAACTATGCTGTGGACCGCAAGCAAGTTTCTATCTGGATCTAAACATCAACCCTTACTGGGAACTCTAAAAGCAGTATAAAAGTATTCATACAACCCTCAGGGCAGTGCAATGCACCTTAAATTAATACAATACTATACCGACTGAATTTACTTCTTAACGGTCTCACACAATATGACCTGCAGAACAGCCATTAACAATAAGGAGCCATGTACAAGAGGCCAGTCAATCTCAAGCATCGTTGCTATTACTTTGATGGCAGACGAATTAATAAGTCACAACCGCACTCATTTGTCTCGTCCCCTGATCTTAACAAAGGATTGAGGCACAAATGCCACGTAGGTCAAACGCCCCTGGTTTTGGATAAGAGAGGGGTGTGTGTGTGTGCGCGCGCGCGTGTATGTGTGAATAACTCCGCAGAGGGCAATAACAAGAGTCAAGGTCGAATTTATGAACCCTACCGTAAATACGGTAAAAACCGCGCTCAATCCCGACTGTACAACTTCCCGCAGCAGATCAGATCTTGCACCGCGTGTGTAACCCCCGCCCTCCGCCCGGTTGCCTAGCGGTCCTGCGTCCGATTCCGGCCTCCTTTCGCCGAAGCGACAGAAGGAACCGGAAAGCGCTGCTTCTTCGGCCGGGCCCGAGCAGCGCCTGCCTACCTTCTCCGCTCTATGACCCAGCCGGCCACACTACCTGCCTCCGGCCGGCGCTTCCAGCCCAAACCCTGCCGCGCGGCCCCTCTCCGTGCCCGTCTTCTTTCCCTTTCCCGCAGGGATCAAAGGGCGGCAGCGAAGACGGAAGCGGAGCTTAGTTTTTGTCAGAGGCGACAGCGACCCCTGCTGGAAAGAAGGGCCTCGGAGGACCTGGCGACTGAAGGCCGCAGTCTTCCAACTCTCCGCTGCGGGCTCTTCCCTGGGCTCAGAAGAGCCAAGGCAGATGGTGCATGGTACAGCTCTGCGGCTGTGGGCGATGCAATCTAAGGAGAGCTTGGTCTCACTTTGCAACCGGATGAGCTTCAGAAAGTTGGGACGACCTCGGAAAGATGCCACAGTTGCACCTATTTTGCAGTGTTGCATATTGAACGCATGGTGTTACAGCGCGTTTCTCCACCCCCAACCAACTGTTCTTGGTTTGCAAACTTTAATATTATTACATATTATCATTACATGTAAATATTACATCCTTTACTGAAAAAGCGATGAAACAATGGAGAACTGAGTTGGCAGTAGGGAATGAGATCTACGGAATGGTTAATATCAAGCGAGGAATTTTCCAGGGTGATTCACTTTCACCTCTTCCCTTCATCATCGCAATGATCCCACTATCAATAATCTTTTTAAAAAAATGAAAATAGGCTACCAAACAGCCAAAGAAGCTGAAAAAATTTTGCATTTACTATATATGGATGATTTGAAACTCTA